TATGAGTACTAATAATTTATGCTTTTGTTTAAATATGTTAGATTTGCTATATATGCGTTTTGCTTCTTTTTCGGATGTCAGCTGATCCTCTTCGTTGGTTATCATGGAGGAAAGGGAGGGTGATGTTATGAACTTCATGGTATGTTTTTTATTTTAAGTCATCTCTTTTATTTCAGAATGATCCTCAAAAGCGGCCTTCCAAGGACAAGGTTGTTTTGCTTGTTTTTTCAATCATAATCCTTATTCTAGGCTCTTGGCTATGAAAAATCTCGGTCGATTTCAAAGTTGGAACTGGAACTAGAACCACTACTTCGCCCAAACCCTCGTCGGTTCGTGATATTGCCAATCCAATATCCGGATATCTGGCAATTTTACAAAAAGGCTGTCGCTTCATTCTGGTCAGTTGAAGAGGTTGATTTGTCCAAAGACATTGTGCAATGGGATGCACTTAAGCCAGGAGAGCGACATTTTATATCGTACGTTCTCGCTTTCTTCGCTGCCAGTGATGGAATTGTGCTGGAAAATCTGGTGGAACGGTTTAGTCAAGAAGTTCAAGTACCCGAGGTCCGATGCTTTTACGGCATGCAGATGGCAATAGAAAATATTCATTCGGAGATGTATTGTCTTCTGATTGATACGTATATCCGAGATCCAGTGGAAAAGTATGTATTTTTAAATCTAAGTTTTCTTAGAGATTTCTTGTTTAATGCCATCACGAACCTCGATTGTGTACACAAAAAGGCGCAGTGGGCCCTTGACTGGATTGGTGATACAAAGTCAACGTTTGCCGAGCGTATTGCAGCCTTTGCTGCAATCGAAGGAGTCTTCTTTTCCGGCAGTTTTGCGTCTATATTTTGGCTTAAGAAGCGTGGCCTGATGCCAGGCTTGACCTTCAGCAATGAACTTATTAGTCGCGACGAAGGCCTTCACACCGACTTTGCTTGCCTTCTGTTCAAACATATCGTGAAAAAGCCCGATAAGGAACGTGTTTATGCTATATTCAAGGAGGCATTGGAGATAGAAAAGGCTTTCTTTAATGAGGCCTTACCCGTCAAACTGATTGGCATGAACTGTGATATGATGTGCCGCTACCTCGAATTTGTTGCCGATCGCTTGCTGTACGAGCTTGGTTACGAGAAGATTTGGAATGCTGAGAATCCCTTTGATTTTATGGAGAATATCTCGATCGAGGGCAAAACGAACTTCTTTGAGAAGCGTGTTGGGGAATACCAAAAAGCGAACATTATGTCTCGAGCCAGGGGCGAAGAGACACATACGTTTACTACCGAGGCGGAGTTTTGATAATATTGCTGTCATTTTCACTTCTTTAATATTATATTGACCTATTATGTCTTTACTCAATATAACTTTATTTGTCCATATGTCGTTGCTTCTGTACAATCTGCTCCCAGCCTAATATATCTTGCCTTACCGCGCTAGTAGGTTAGCTTAGGTCCGCAGAGTAAATCAGGGATGGAGGGAATAGCAAACCTTTGGGTGAGACGGCTTTCCGAGCGTCCATGTTAGTACTAGGTGTTTTTTGGACTGTCATTCTGTCGTACACCACATTGTGGGATAGACCAAACTCGTATTACCTCCGGTCGCCACAGTTTTTAGTAAGCTGCACCAACCGGGTCTGTTTCCCTGCCGCTGCGTCTCAAGCGATGCAGATCGCGCTAGCGCAACTATGGTTTTGACGGTTACGGCTGGCAAGTTGAATACCGTTTTAGCCTATACTAAGTTGGTATGTGCATAGGATTTATGCATCATAAACCTACTTCTTTATGTGGCTGGTCCAAGTAGCGACTGAAATTAGAT